TCAGCAGGACATAGAGCATGTTAGTGACAGGGATGGCTGTGGTAGGTAGGTGATAAGGCTGGAGGTAGGAGGGGGTCTTGTACAGTTTCATGCTGACATTGAAGTGTCCTTCTCTGACCACAAACTGCACCAGCCTGAGAGGAGAGGAGGAGACCTCATGAGCAGAACAAGAAGGCAGGAGGATGTAGCAGAAATCAGGCCACTAGCCCAGGTGTGCTGTGACCCCCAACACAGGAAGGCTATTGCAGTGAACCCAGAGGAGGCCACGGAGATGATCCAAGGGCTGGAGCAGCTCTGCTCTGGAGACAGGCTGGGAGAGTTGGGGGTGTTCTGCCTGGAGAAGAGAAGGCTCCAGGGAGACCTTAGAGCACCTTCCAGTGCCTGAAGGGGCTCCAGGAAAGCTGGGGAGGGACTTTGGACAGTGGCTTGGAGTGAGCAGATGAGAGGGAACAGTTTTAAGCTGAAAGAGGGGAGATTTAGAGTACATACTTGGAAGAAATTCTTCACTATGGGGGTGGTGAGACACTGGCCCAGGTTGCCCATGGAAGCTGTAGCTGCCCCATCCCTGGAAATGTTCAAGGGCAGGTTGGATGGGTCTTGGAGCAATCTGGTCTAGTGGGAGGTTTCCCTGCCCATGCAGGGAGTTGGAACTAGATGATCTTTAAGGTCCCTTCCAACCCAAACCATTCTATGATTCCATGATTCTATGACTCTGGATATACCTCTGCTCCCGAGCTTGGTGAGAGCCAGGCCCTGACCTGCCTCTCAGTTCCCTGTGTCTGCTCCACATGCTCACAGAGGCACGTGACTCCAGGGGCTCCCACTGACCTGCTGGGCTACAAGAAATGCAACCCAGGGGTTCCTGACCTGCACTTCCACAGGGGCCTGGTGGGGGCATCTTGCAGTTCCCAACCTTTATGTTTTGGCTAGCTGGTTTCAAGCAGTGAGGATAAGAGAATGGTTAGTGCCCCAGTTTGGCTGTCCCAGGCCCAAACCTTGGGTTGAAAAGCAAAGAGGGCAAAAGAAAGGGAGGAACCCTGATGTGGCATTGCTCCCAGAGCTCCCTAGTGGCTCCCCAGGGCCTTTGCAGATCACCTCATTGAAGGCATCTAGTTTTCCTGCAAGCTCCAAGGTACCATGTCAGCAACCAGATGAAGAGGGACCACTCACTTGTCAACTGCAGTGAGAGAAAAGGGCAGTTTCACCACCTGCTCGTAGGCGTAGAGGCAGGAGAAATGCACCTCCAGCTGAAAACTCCTGGAGATCACCCCCTGGACTGCTTCCCGCTCCGACTTGATGACGTTGGAGTACGACACGTGGGAGCTGTTTTGCTGGAATGACACAAAAACCAAGTCTCCAGACCCTGTCTAAATCCATACACAGAGCTTCAAACTCCAGTTCAGATGGTGCAACCCAGCTACAGCTGCTCTAGGCTTCCTGGATATTTGCTGGGGTTTTCGCTCAAGACCTGTTTCCAGGGGCTACTGGCAACCATCACTGGAGGAGCCAGCACACTGAACACTAGCGAGGGCCCTCATGTGCAAGGCTCAGCTGGAGCACCAGTTTCTCTGCCCCCTCTGTGACTCACACACCCAGTGAGGGACCATGGGGCAGTGGCCAGGGCTGCAGAGATCAGAAGGTGCTGCCAGAAAGCCGTGGGTTATCATCAGCCACTAAAGAGCACACTTGAGACTTCCATGCTCTGCTGAAGAAGACAAGATGTGCTGCCAGTAGGGCTTTGGTGGAGGCAGGAGAGCTTTCTGACAGTCCCCACGGTAGCCTGTCAAGGGGAACGAGAACTTTACAGCAACCAGATATAAAAGGAAAAGTCTCTGGTTCTTCCCTTTGCTGTCCCCACTCCACAAGTATTCTCCTCTCACAGCTTCAGGACTAAGCAGAGAGGCTCTGCTGGATC